TTTAGGATCCTCATCTAACAGAAAAATTTGAGCTATAGGATCTGAAATGGAGTTTAAATCATTTATCTCAGAAATAAAGGAAGTGATAAAGTTTGGTCCAAAAAAGGTTTCAACTCTTTACCTTTTACTTCTTCTAGGCTCGGAATCATTTTCTTGAGAAGACCTAGACATAATACTAGAAGAAGTGGATGAAATATATTATATTTGTGTTTCAACATTTATTCTTGGTTCTTTTAAAGGAAAATTACTTTCAAAGAAAATAGCATCTTTTGACTCACAAATAGAATAATCTTGTAAAAGCATGAATCTGTATGTAGTACTATTCGTAGCATACCCTATAAACAGTGCATCAACGATTTTAGGTCCGATAGTGGACTTCTTAAAGTCCGATAAACCCACTTTGGCCAGACACCCCCACACTTTCAGGTATTGTAAATTAGGAGCGTATTATTTCCACAATTTATATAGGATATAATCTAATTTCTTATGAGGAACTCGGTTTAAGATATGAGTTATGATAGAATGTCTTCCCCCACATGTTATCAGATAATCTTGAACTTATTAGTAAAGAATTCATTATCTCTTTTAAAGTTCTATTTTTCCTTTTGGCTATACCATTTTATTGAGGAAAATAAGGGGTTGATGTTTCATGAATTATGTCATTCTTTTCACAAATATCTTTTAAAAAATTAGATCCATATTCACCACCTCTATCAGATCTAACCCGTTTTATTCTCCTATCTAACTGATTTTCAACTTCTGCCTTATAAATAAGAAAGAGGTTTTCAGCTTCATCTTTAGTTCTTATGAGATAAACTTTTGTATATCTTGAATAATCATCTATAAAAGTTATGTAGTAGTGTTTTCCTCATTTACTTTCAGTGTTTCTAAAATCTGCTAGATCAGTATGAATGAGTTCTAAAAGCTCAGTCTTTCTACTAGAAGCAATCTTAAAGTGAGGTCTAGTATGCTTAGCTTCTACACAAATTTCACATTTGTTAAAGCTAGTTATGTCTAGTTTAGGCAGAACATTCATATTCATCAATTTCGTTAAACCATGAATATTCACGTGTCCTAATCTAGCATGCCACATATCAATGGATTCAACAATATAAGCAGAATTGGTAGCTTTATTTTCATTAAATTGAGTTTCTATGACAAATAAACCATTATTAAAAAGCCTTTCCCAATATAATCACCATTTCGGGAAAGTACAAGTTTATATGCCTCAAAAAATAACTTAATGCCTGCCTTATTTAGAAGCCCACCACTTATCAAATTTCTACGCAAGGAAGGAACATACAGAACATTATTTAAGGCCAGAGTTTTACCAAAAGTCAGCTTGAGTAAAACATTGCCTTTGCCTAGAATTTCAGAGCTGCTAGAGTTCCCCATGTACACACGTTCACATGTGTTCCCATCCTCGAATTCGGTAAAAAAACTCATTCCCTGCGTAGAAATGCTTCGAAGCGCCAGTGTCAACTACTCATTCCGAACTGTTTTCCACCAGATTAACTTCTAAGACCACCGCAACAATGATTTCATCATCTTCTTTTACAACGTGCATCTGTGACTTGTTGTCATTCTGGCAGTCTGAGCGGTGTTGGCATTGGTAAGCTTTGTGGCCGGGTAAACCGCAGATATAGCACTTGAGCGTCTTTCCTTTAGGTTTGGCCTTTCCTGACTTCTTGAAGTTGGTAGCCTTCTGAGGTTTTGTATTCTTATCTTGATTCCCACGTTTCATGATCTTTTTGAATTTAGACTCAACCAAGTTAGCTTTAAAAGATAAATTACTCATAGAATTAGTAAGCTGATCTTTTAAACGATTGGCTTCTTCAATCTTCATATGGCCTACCAGCTCTTCAAGCGAAATTTCTCTCTTCTTATGCTTAAGAGAATTGTGGTAGTCATACCAGGACTTGGGCAGCTTCTCAATGAGAACATTGGCTTGCAGTACCTCACACATTTGCATCCCTTCGGTGATAATGTCAGCGACTAAGTTCTTATAGTCATGAACTTAATCCATTATCGACTTGTCGTCTGTCATCTGGAATTTGAACCATTCGCCGATAACGTACTTCTTGATGCCCGCATCGTCCGCACCATATTTTTTCTCCAGAGTGTCTCATATTGCCTTAGCAATCATTTCTCTAAGAAACATATCAAATAATTTATTTGACATGTGACTGAGCATATGTCCTCGCACTATTTTGTTGTCTTTCTCGTATTTCTCGTAGGTAGCGAGAGCGGCGACGGCAGTTGCTAAGGTATCATCATTCAGGACCATATCTGTATCATTACCGGCAGTTGGTGGCATGGTAGGTGGTGGCTTGAGCAGCACATAGTCAAGATCAAGCTGCTCGAAGAATATCAGGATTCATTGGGACCACCTTCTATAATTATTTCCATCAAGTGCTTCGAGCTTGGAAAGATCCGAAATAAGTTTGCTCAAAGGTGTTATCATGATTGCAGTATATAGAATTTGTTTCTAAATTGTTGGAAATATGGACTGCAAAACCACACCGTTAGCACTGACAGTAAAGATAAACAGTAATTTAAAAGGAACAGATTCGTAAATCGTGTCGTGATAAAACCACTGTCTTAGAAACGAATTCGCCCCAATATGTGTAATCGTTGTAGTAGGCAAACCGTCCCCCGAGGTTAACACGGTCGCTCCGAATTTCGTACACCCGAAACTGGAGTGGATTGCTGGTGGTATTGCACTTCTGATCGAAAAGCACACAGAGAGAATATTTAGAAAACACTTGGAGAGTGAATTCTGAATGTTGGGAGTGAGTTGAGAAGTTGAATCCATCTCTCTATTTATAGGTTAGTAATAGGGTTAAAATCGTCCATAAAATATAAGGATTAAAACCCTTCATTGTAACAGCTGAAACGTCTAGATGAACCTGACTAAAAAATAGTCTAGGTTCATTGCGTCATTATTCAACTACTATAACTCGTGAAATTAAATCATGTAACTCCTGATATTAACAGCTTGTCTCCTCTGTACAAAGCTGGAAATCAGTCTAGATACATCTTGTCATTTTTTGATTTAATTTAAGGAAAAACTGTTTAATTTATGAGTTATCAGAAATCAGCTATTATCATTCGAATTTAAACAGTCCTTAGCAGCCTATGAATACCCATTTTCAATAGTGTTTCCAATACTATGTGAGATTGAACATTACCAACAGTGTCCCCCATAACCTAAGGTTTACTGCGCTGTCATCCACCTCACGTTGCCACTAAATTTACGGATAATCCTATGCACATGATCCCACTGCATTACTATGACTTTCTTTTTCTGGAGATATCATGATCAAATCCCCTACATCCATGAAATATTCCATCATTAACGTTGGAAAAGGTATTGCTCATTTTCTCTTCTGGTCCGCTTGCTTCTTCTCATTCTTAACTAGTTTCATATATCACCTGGAATACATTACCAAGAATGGTGGAATAGCCATGTTTTGTAAGCCCGCACAATAATTACTTACAAACCAAATTTGTATATTCGTTGAACAATATTTGTTAAAAAATTACGTTTACCCAACTTTTGAAATCTAATGATTAAAAGAAATTTATTCTCTTTTATTAATTAGAGTTCAAATAACGTATATTACACATGTACGTCAATTTAGATCTAAATCTTATAAAAATATACATTTGCCTTTTAATTTTCAAGAAGAATTGGTATTTTTTTAACTATATTTTTCTCTCACATAAGTGGTATATTTTTAGGAGATTTAAGCTATATCATTTAAAAATATTATGTAAAAAGAAAAAAAAATAAAATACACTTATACTATTATATTTTAATTTTCAAAATAATTTGTTTAAAGATATTTTATTAATTGAGTTTATATTAAATTAATTTCTAATATTAAACTTAGTTAAAAGTTTTATGCAAATATAAATATTGATATAAATTAAAATTTATGTCAAGCACTACCTAAGCGATGAATATTATTTATTAAAAATAAAATGTTTTTAATTTTTTTAATAGTCTAGGGTGATTACAGAGTAGTATTTATTAATAATATTTTTTTAGTCATTGACAACGTATACATAATTACAAACGCATCTGCTTAAATTCAAAATCTCTAACGAAAACAACTATCACTTTAATCATTGAGTAGAATAATTTCATAATTATAAAACGTGGCCATTAAAGTCCTTGTTCCAACTCATCAAAGGCACCAAAGTTGGAAGTAATGTGAAAGTAAAAACACTATAGCCATCAAGAGAGACAACAATCACAAGAGAACTAGGAACAAAAGAAAAAAGGAATAAAGTAAATACTTAGAGATTTATTACTCTATCAAGAGAATGAATGAATGAAATGAGATATGAGATGATACAAATGAGGAGGGGAGACTCTCTATCTATAGTTAATCTCCCACTCAATCAATCAATTGCCTAGATCTATTTACATTAATGGTTAAGATCAACCCAAATCTTTCTAGAATATTCTCTGATACGATGCTACCTTTCTTATCTGCAAAGTCAATGTGAACGAACTCCACAACATTCTTCAAGTGATGGGCCAAATCTGAAGGTATTAACAAGCCTGATACTTTGAATAAAAACTATTTAACAGACACTTGCACCAATATCCTTGACAATATATTTAACCTTCCATAACTGAGTTATATTTGATTAATTCATCACATTAGTTATTTAATAATTTAATAATAGTATATATTTAAATTAAAATTGATTTTTAAACAAATATCAACATTAATTTTACTAAAACTCGAAATCGACTCTCATTAAATTGATAATTTAATGTTAATATTTTAATAACAAGCAATAAAGTTAGAAGTAAAACCAACTATTACTTTAAGCAATAGCAGATATTAATATTTAAAATAAATAAAAAAGTAGAATTTATAAAACCCTAGATTACCTTGGGGATAAAGAACCTAAATTTTCTCGTACAAACCCTATAATGCGCCTCCTAACTCGCTTTTCTTTTTCTTTTTGTCCATAGAAGAATGTCAAACGGTGAAGAAACTTCAAATTCTCGGCACGCATGCGCAGCTTGCAAGTATCAAAGGAGAAAGTGCGAGACCAACTGTTTATTCGCTCCCTACTTCCCTGCAGACAAAGCAAATAATTTCCGAGAAGTTCACAAGATTTTTGGGGTAAAAAACTTGACGGCGATCTTGTCGAATCGTAGTCCAGATGAGAGGGGAAGAGCTGTGGAGTCCCTTGAATGGGAAGCCTTTGCATGGAAGAGTGATCCAGTTGAAGGGCCTTTAGGGTTGTTCAAGCATCTCAAGAGAGAGCTTGAACAGTTGAAAAATCAACAGCAACAACACGAGAATGGGACTATTGTGCCCTACTCTAATTACCAGACTGACCATGGTTTGTTTGCATTGAACCACAATGCTGCGCTTGGTAATTTTGCACATAATTCCAACATCAATGCTGCAAAATCTGGTTATGGTATTAACCCAAATATAGGGATGGAGCAATCCTTCAATAGCTACGCTGTATTGCCGCAAATTAGAGGAGGTGAAATCGAAAATCATCAAGTAATGGTAAATAATGGTATTCCGATTGATTCTTACTATGGAATCCCGCAAGCGCACGGATTAGCATTGCGAAAAAGAGGTGGTGCTGATAATGTTGTTCAACCGTCTACTACTTCACACAAACGACAGATGTCGCAGAATAACCAAATGTTGGGTAGTTTTTCAATGGGGCCACCCACTAATTCTTTTGGTCGGCACAATCATCTTCAAACAGGACTCCAACGAAGATCTCCTGGATATCTCCCAAGACCTGCTTCTCAATCTCAAGGGAGAGGTTTGCATTAAAAAGTAGGGCACACAAATTACATTTCTATTTTATTTTCCTTGGATGATTAAATTATCAATTTTTTATATTTTCATTAACACATATACTTTTTTTACTATATAATTAAAGAGTATTATATATATATATATATATATATATATTACTTATCTTGATATTTGCATTTTATATTTTTCTCATTGTATTAATATTTATCGTACATTGTAATGGAATATTTTTTCTATAATTATTGATTTATTAGTCAACTGATTCGGATCGAGTATCGTAGAAACTCATTATAGGAACTCTGAACCCATCAAGGGACCTCAATGATTAAAGAGATTATTGTTCTCTCTAGAGGCCTTGAGTACGAACAACTATGTCTGTAGAATATGTGCGATGTCAATTACTAAGATATATTTTGAACAGATACTACCTTGTAATTACCTCAGACTGTTAAAAAATAATATGATACAAACTCTAAACATTATTTAAATGAACTAACATCTCATCTATTAGACTAACCATAGCTTAATATAAAAATAAGTGTTCAAACTAGATTGTTTTCTCCATTTAAGTGCCTAAACTATTTTTCGGTCAATTCATGTGTCTAACGTAACAAACGTGACCATTTTAAGTGCTCTGACCGTAACGAAGTTAGAAAATTCTGTTATGTGACACGTTTCACGTTCTGGTAATTTAATTTTTTGTTTAAAATAAAAAATATAATTTTTTAAAAAAAATCTAAAAATTTTAGAAATCTTAAAAAACTCAAAATTTTGAAAACCTTTATTCTAATCTCTATACTCACGTTGATCACTGTTGTTGCAGTCGGCCGAACCTTTACCGACGATACAATCACCGTTACTAGCCTTTGAAATCATTCCAACCATCCTCACCAAATGCTAATATTGTGAAAAGAGGGGCGGGGAGACAGTGGGTGCGAGTGAGGGAGAGGGAGGTGAAGGGGGACGGGAGGGAGGGGAAGGGGTGGGGGAATTTTTTTAATTAAAAAATGTTTTTAAAATATAATAATTTATTTTATTTTTAAAATAAAATCTTCAAAATTATCAGAATTCGACATACGTCATTTAATATAATTTTTAATGATTGTTACAGTTGAGACACTTAAAATGATAACGTTTATAACGTTAGGCAACTGAATTGACCAAAAAATAATTTAGACACCTAAATAAAAAATAATATAATTCAAACACTTTTTAATAGCACAAAATAAAATTTGATATTTCATTTAAAATTTTAATTTTTAGTAAGTAACATCACTTGATTTTGAATAGATATCATTACATAACTTACTATATAGTAATGTATTCGTTTTAAATAAATCCAAATATTACTTCATGTATTAAGAGCTGGTAACGAACGTACACACCTTTTGCCTGTTTTGCATATGTAACATATGGTAAACTATTAATAAAGATTGATTCAAGTGGTAAGTAATTTGATATCGTTTAAGCAAAGTTTCTATTTCAAATCTTTGTGTATGTAAAACATTTCTGTTGGGAGATTCACCCACCAACGCCATGTATGCGACACGAGTCAATCCGGATTAGTCAATGTGAAGCCTTGGAACCGGGAAGGTACAAGAAAACATATGGTAAACTGATTATATTGGTAAGCTTTTTGTAATGAAGATGATTTGTTGAACGAATGATTATTAATTATAGATGTATTATGTTTTACTTTGTGTCGATCAAGCTCTTTATAGTGATGTTGATTTCTTAAAAGAATGATTTTCTTTAACCTTCTGTTAGGGAAAATGCAGAAATTATCTCATACTTAAATTATGTTGTTAAATTATAAATTTGATCAGAATGGATCCAGGGAGAGCAGAAGAAACAATTGTCTTTCTTAAATTTTAAATTATCATATATTTTAGATATTTTATATTGATAATTTATTCTCACATCTAGAATTTTATAAGTTCATCTTACCTAAAATTTTAAAAGTTCATCTCTAACATAAAGTCATATGTTCGTCACTGGATTTGAGGATTAAATCTATTAAAATTTAAATTTAAGCACGAACTAAATAATCTTAGTGGTTAATAAATTATTATTATTTATTGAGGTTTGAGTTCAAGCACCATATATGCAAGGTCGGAGCACACTAGAGACATGTGAGGCCCATGGGCCCCAAAATTTTGAAAAAAAATTAAGTTTTAGATCATTAAACTTTTCAAAAAATCTTAGTTTTTCTCCCATAATTTTTTTAGAAACTCATATTAAGTTTTATATTTTTTGAATGTTTTTAACTAAACCCCTCCCATAATTTTTAAAAATTCTCATCAAGCCTCTTAAATTTTTAAAAATTTTAGTTAGATCTCAATTTTATTTAAAAATATTTAAATTTAACCATTCAAAATTTTTGAAAATTTTGATGTAAACCTCTAATTTTTTTTAAAAAATTCAAGAAGCTAGCTTGGTACAACAATGGGGACCCAAAGCAGACTTGGTTGACCGCAAGAACCACGCAAAGAACGTAGGGAATCACTGGGAAAACAACAAGACAAACTCGGAAGGGTCAATTGAATTCTCTGACATCTCAAAAAATGCCACTTGCTCAACATGCAGGGGAGCCATGCCACACAGCCGATGAAACGATGCTACTAACCAGTCAAACGCCTAACAGGGAATACCAAACCAAGACACACTCAGCTGAACACCCTACCACACTCCCTGTTATTTGCCCAAAACAATGGAATCAAGGCACCTATAATTATCCAGAACCGAAGTGCATTTCTCAGGCCACAAACCTTTGCACCAAATCCCAATTCTCAGCATAGCTAAATTAAACAATTGATCCTCAATAACAACTTTCTGGTCAAGCAAAATATCATTCCTGGTTAGCCAAATAGACCAAGATATCCCAAAGAAAGCAAGATGCCAAATTTGTTTATACCACCTATTAAAAGGTTGGGCAGTCCACAATAACAAAAAAATCTCTAATGTTACCTGGACAACTAAAATGAGCACTCCATATCGACGTCCATCTTTGCCATAAAATGGCTGGAGTGTGTCTTGCAAATTTATTTGGACTTTTTAATCGCTGGAGGAGGGCGCCTAAGGTGGTTTAGCAGGAGGTGGGAAGTCTCGTCATAATTGGGGTGCCCTTATCTTGATTCTGTTCCTAGTGTGGTTGCATTGTTCGTCATAAAATGGTGGTGGTTTTTGTGCTGTTTATCGTTTTTTTGTGTGCTGTAGAGGAGGTAGTATGTCTGAGTGTTATTCGATGTTTGTGTTTGGCTGGTGTTGTAGCCCTTTCATTTCGTTTGACGAGCATTGTGTACTCTTTTTTTCTTTATTAGGTGTAGAAAGATTTTTTAACGAGTCCCATGTATTTCGTCTTGTTTTATATAAACTGTAATCTTAATCATACAAAATTATTCCTTTTAAAAAATTTAAAAAAATTTCAAGTTGCTCTTTCAAACTCTATCTCTAAGTTCCACAACTGTATATATTTTAAGGACATGTACGTTCAATATCACATAGTTGAGAACTTTTAAATTGATACAACTTTATACTAGTCCCAAATATATTAATAAAAAATATCTTAAATTTAAATGTAATGCATGTATTCTATATTACAGAGTTAGATGTTGAGAGGATAGGGATGTTTTACAAATACTTGTTAACGATTAAGTTTGCAATAAGGTGGATGCTTATGATTTATTAATTATTAAATTTAAGCCATTTAACCAGCTTTTCTCTGACGGTCAATTGCTTGGTAATTCCTTTCTTGAATTGTTACATCTTCAATAACGAAGTTATTTTTTTTTTGAATTAGTATATATAAATCAAAATCTATTTGACTTTAATTATGAAATGGTCTTTTTAATTAATACATAATTTAAACTCTATACTTAGAATAAAATGATTTTTTTAATTAGCGTTATATAATTAGAACTCCAAAGCAGGTAATCAGTAAATTACTTTTGGCGTTTGGTTTTGAGCTGTGTGGATAATTCTTGTAGTTGTGTTTTTCTTGTACTTGAAGTGTTAGGATTGAATCTATTTCTCACACTGTGTGGACAATTCTTTTGTCCTAATTGTGGTTTTAGGAACTCAATTTAGTTTTCTCTTTGTTATATAGTTCGACTTTGAAAGAATCTCAAACACCATCGATTCACGTTGTAGGTGGAAAGTGACCTTCAACTTTGATGATTTAATTATATTTTAAAGTATTAAAAAAATTTATACTATTAAAATTAAGTTTTAGTCTTTTTTTTTTCTAATTTACTTATTTTTTTAGGATTGATCAGCTTTAAAATTAATAAAAACTAAAATTTGATCTTCAACTTTTTTGGTTTGATTATCTTTAAAACCCTTTGTTTCGAAAATTAATAAAATTAAACTCCGACTCTTTTATTATTGTTGATTTAATTAATTTTTAGAGTCATATTTATTTTAAAATCAAATAATTTAGTCTCTCTTATAGTTCAATCTTTATTTCATATTCGATCTCAAATATGTGGAATATATGATTTAGAATTTATAGTTAAGTAAATAAAATAAATTTTCAAATATCATGAAAATTATACATATATATTTCAAATGTTGCATAAAAAATAATTACTTTTTATTTACTTAAAAATTTGATAGTTTAAAAATATATTTATGAATCAACCAATGTCCCAATGGAGCTAGAATCAGATGTTAGAGGGCTAAATAATTTATAGACTCAAGTAACATTTAAAATAAAAAATTAAGGAGATAAACCTTAATTTTAGATAAGAGTTTAAACTTTAAGAAACTTATATTTAAATTAAACAGAAAGTTTGGGGCCACCGGCCATGCCCTCCATCAGGCATTTACTTCAAATGGAAAGCATAAAAAAATTAGTTAATGTGACCTGTTATATTATTTGCAGTAGTTAATTTACCAGGCGTAAAGATAGAAAAGTATTTATTTCAAATATTGTTTTTTAAATTTTATATTTAGAACTGTCCTCCTAAACCTGAGGCAGTTATAGATGCTATAACAAAACTTCGTAAACATAATAT